GTCAGCAATAAAGCAAGCAGTTTATATAATTTGTCCATCAGAGTCTTCTCTTATTAGCAGGTTTAACATTCACATATATACATCTGAACATCTTGTCTCATTAAGTATTATTTGTATTTTCACCAGAGTAAGATAAATATCTTTATTACACTAAAGTAACCAGTAAATAAGTTATTGTAGTGAACTTGTAGTAGTTCCTGTCTAAAAGCTGGATTACTGAAAATATAGATTCTACTGCTCTTTATTAAAAGATCTTGTTTATTTATTTTCTACTCTGACTGCTGGGATTTTGCCTTAGTAAATCTTACTTATATAGAAAAATCATTTTTCTGTGCCTTTAGTAACAGATCTAATATACTTATAGTTAATTTGTTGTAGGTTCTTTCATCTTTCATTATCATATTTACATATATACAGAGAATTCAGAATCTTCTGCAATTTCTATATTATGTCTTTCCAGTATCTCTAGCTAGTATTTCTTGAACTAACTCAACTATTAACTTAATACCACCAGATCTCCTCTGCACCGTCTCTACTCTGCTGCTTTAAACAGTATAAATAGCATATCTTTGAATATCTTCTTTGTTAAAGAAAGTTTCTTCAAATAAGTCCCACTCTAGAACACCATTTATATCACATTATTTGAGTATATACATCAGCAGATCAATATTTTCTTTCAGTTTGACATAGTCTAGTCTTCATAATAATATGTCAGCTAGGTTATACTTCTCAGAGCAGTAGAGAATCTTAAAGTTATATACTGTAAGAATCTCAATCCATCTTACATATTATTTAAATTGTGCTATCTTGTTTATGAACTTCATGAATAAATAAAGATTCACATAATCTGTAATAATCTCTACAGAATACTTTATCTCTTTTAAATCCTGCTGCTAATAGACAAACACTTAAACAATAATCAATACTTTCTTATTCAGCATGCTATAGACTTATTGAATCTGATCAAACTTGAATAATTAATAGACAACTGAATATCATTCATCTTTAAAGAGCTGTAGCAATATTGTATCTGCAGCATGTTTTAAAGCATCTGTCTCCAGATATATTCTATATTCTGAATTATAGTATCAGATGACAGACTCTTTAGAGAAGATTATCTGCAACTCACAAAATACTTTTCTAACAGCAGGCATCAGAAGAAACAATTTCTTCTTCTGTTTACTTTTACTGCTCTTCAAGAGATCTGTCAACAGCACTATAATAACTAAGTACTTACATATAAATCTTCTATAAAGGTTTGTAAAACCCAGAAATATATGAATATTATGAAAATCTTATAGCAAAGATTACTCTATAATTATCTGTATCTGATTTAAATCTATCTTAATATCTTCAGTATTAATAATATATTCAAGGCACAAGATTATTCATCTTTTAAAAGCACACTTAGCAAGCTTTACAAATAACTAGTATTCTCTTAAATACTTTATAACTAATCTAATATATTTCTCATGCTTCTTCTCTGAGACTAAGAAGATAAGAATATTATCTAGATAAACTATACAGCATACATTGATCAGGCCTGCCAGCACTCTATTAATATAGAACTGGAAGATCACTGATATATTTAATAATCTGAAAGACATAACAAGATACTCAAAACTTCTAAACTTTGTACAAAATATGATCTTTTATTCATCTTCTTCTCTGATTCTAATTCAGTAGTAGATATTATACACATTTACTTTAGAAAGGTAGCATGCTTCTGCTAGCCAGCTTAGCATCTTATTCATCAATAGCAAAGAGTAACAGTTCTTCATTATAACTGTATTAAGATCACAATAATTGACACAGAGTCTGAGTTCTTTATCAGTCTTGAGTATAAATAACACTAATGCTCTCATCAAAGTTTATAACAGATATATTCAACTTTTACAAAGCTTGTTCTTAATATACTCTTCTAAAATCTCTGTCTACTTGAATAATAATTTATAGATTAATATATACAGAGATTCACAGCCATCTTTAAGAATAATCAGATGACTGATCTTTATTAATTCTAGTAATTCTGCTACTTTTTCTTCTTAAAAAATATCTTCATAATCTCTTAATCACTCAGAGACTTCTGTCAAGACTTGATTATTATCTGACATAAAAATAGTATAAGAGAATTTATTCTTAATGCACATCACTCAGAAAAATTTATCTATACTCAGAAGTTCTACTGTTTTCTTTAAAGATTAATAATACTACATCTTATTCTTTCAGTCAATATTCAGATTGAAATCTTTCAATTACAGCATGTCTAGAACTATATTCACATTAATCATATTAATTACTGCAAATATTTATCTTATTATTTTTGTGATTTTTATAATATTCATTATAGTGAGTTAAGTCTTATAAGTGCCATATCAGTCAGTCTTAGCTTCATTTAACATTTTAATAACTTTTATAGGCATCTCCAGCTGATTCCAGTTGAATTAAGATACCAGTTTGTAGAAAATACTGTTCACTATAGTATCTAAGTTCAACAGTACAGCTTGTTTTATAAAACCACTCAATAGTATAGTTAGTGTAATCAACACACATATACTACATCTGCTTGCTTTCTCTAGTGAATTTATTCCTTATCTTTCTAGCATTTAATCTGATTCATACATAGACTTTACAGCTCTAGTCTTCACCTAGTTCTCATTCTTTATATCTGTTTACTGAAACTTGTTAAAGCTATTCAAACAGAACTTCACTCTATAGTCTGATGAACCACATCTTAAACAGAGTCTCTTCTTTATTTATTGCTTGTATTTCTCTTCAGATATCTTCAGAAGTGGTTTTGCAGGCATTTTCTTTAATTATAAGGATTTTTCTTCATTATTCTATTAGAACACATCTTTTTCTTGAGAGATTGAGATTTTTTATTTCTTCTTATTTAAGTTCTTATTATTCTAACTTTACTTCTTCTTTTCAAGAATGAACTTAATAAGAATTACTTGTTCTTATAGCTTTATAACTATTTTTATTTAATGTTGCAATTTATCAAGTTCAGTTCAGATAATAGATTTAAGCTTCATCTATAAAAAGAGTACACAAAACTCATCTAGTAGATTGTTTAGATCTTGTTCAAGCTTAGCAGTATATATAAAAAATTAGAGTATAGATTAATCTTCTCACTGAGTAGCATTATGATATTACTGCATTATATCTTAACAGCAAGTTATCTTGAGTTCAATATCATTCTTACATCATATTTCAAATTTATCTCATAATATAAGTAGTTATTTTTCTTCTATTTCCAACATCTGCTAGTATATTTGCAGTTTGTCATAAAAATAACTGAATACTTAATTAATTCTGACAGCATCTGTTGCTTTGTATAGTGATTTCCTTAGACAAAAATATTATTTTATTGAGACTAACTACATCTTACACTTGCCAAGTAATTTGCCATGATAATAAGATACTTTTGAGAATTTTACATTCTTAAAGTCATTTGATTTCTCTATCAGTCATATCTGCAAGAGAAATTTTAAAGAAAAAGTATTATTTACCAATTTCTGTTTATATTTAATCTGTTTTTGCAGTTTGTATATTTTATTTTATTCATATATATCTGCCAGATCTCTTTACAAATATATTTTCTTTTCTTCAAGAGTTTCTTCTTTTCAAGTTTCATCTAAAGCATTAAGAGATATACTTTTATTATCTGCATCATTTACTAGTGTCTTGCTGATAGTGGCTTCACTGCTACTAGTATTTTTATTAATATTTATTTTCTTTACATTGGTCTGTATCTCTATCAGGTCTGCAACATAAGGTGTTACTATGATTTATCTTATGAGTCTTGGTGATATTATACCAATTTAGGCAATTGTATATTAAGTGTTCAGAATATTAGAGAAGAATCTGACATGGATTTTATAAGTTATTCTAGATTTTAAAGGTACAAAAGAGCTAAATAGGTCTGATGCCCACAACTAATAGGATAAAGTCATGCATAAAACATATAGATTTACTAACTAGAAGACTGAATGCTGAGGTTCCCATAATCTATAAGAATTATGCAATTCTTATACATTCAGAGGTATGGCCCACATAATATTCTCTGAACATTCAATGTGGTCTGATGCTTGGTTGGTCTAGGCCTACATTTGTAATGAGATCTCTTCAACCTAATAATAATCAATGCTATTATAGCTCCAGCAAAGATTCTGCTGAAGAAAAGCAATATATCTCTTGATTTGGCACTCCAGTGCCTGGTTAAAGAAGATCAGAGTGAATATGTTTCTTGTTTTACTCAAGTCTGAGGCAGAACAGATTCCAAAGTGTACTTCTGATATTAATAATTTGATGCTCTTGCTATCCCTGCTAAGATGCAACTTATGAATTTCTATAGCCTTCATATAAAGCAGATATTGTTATTTTGATTTATTAATGTAAGCAAAAAATTATGCTATTTATGTGATAGATTTCTTATTATTCATTCAAACTTTCTACAAATATTTGCTTGTTATCAGAAGCTCTACTTATTCTGAGTTCTACTATCTATAGCTGACAGTAAAGTTTATGTTTGTTACAAAAGACTTATAGCTAAACTGACTCATATCTTGAAGAGCATAGCTAGGCAGAAGCTACACTATTGACTAGAAAGTTTACAGAAAAATGTAAGGTAGTTCACCACTAAATGAGCCACACTACTAAACAAGCCAAATTTTGCCAAATGCTTCATGCAATGAATTTATTAAATATCTGAACAACCAGATCTTTATTATTAAATAGCTATTAAATATTAAATGAATGTATTCTTTAAAGTATAGAAATTAGTATAGTTAGGAAAATAAACAGATAGACAGCCTAATATTATGGCCAGAGCAAGAGATTTGAGGGGTAGGTAGAAAAGAATTTAAAGAAATATCAACAGTAGATTTCTTAGCTAGAGAGCTTAATATCTTGCTAGAGATGCTTGTAGAGCTCTTACTTCTTCTTTTGAAAGATTATATAGGCTTTCTGTAATGAGACTCTTTAGTAGAAGAGTTCTTCTAACAGCACTTTAAAGCCAGTGCTTGAAGCCCTGACTGCTAGTGTTTATTAGCATATTCAACTATCTGTTTTTCCTTCTCTACTAGTTGTAAAGTCTTTTTCTTCTCACAAGCAACATGTTGTGCCTCTCTTTATCTAGCACATTCAATTTTTTTGATCTTTTATTACTTCTAGATCTTTTTATAGGTATTTTTCTGTTTAATCTGTTTTTTTTCAATATCTCTAGCAGTCTGCTTCTTTTAAAGCTTCTGTTGAAGTTTTGTCTCTTGTGTTTAAGTAATTTTATCAGCTTTTTCAGTCTCTATTTCATCCAGGCACTCACATGCCTTAAGAACCTTTGTTGGAGACCAGAACTGTGCTTGACTAGAATTATCTTTATTAAGTAGATTTAGAGGCTTGTCTTACTTGTAATATTGCTTCTTTATCACTAGAGTTAATCTTAGCTACTGATTCTTATGTTCCAGCAGTTTATTATAAAGAGCAAACTGCTTACTAGCTTGAATAATCCATCTAATGCTTTGTGAATTTAGGCTGTACTGGAGATGTATACTCTTGATCTCTTGTTGAAGCTGGTGCATATTACTAGAAATAGAAGATTTAACTAGCAGTGTAGAGACTTGAGCAGTTTCAAATCAGTATAGTTAATATTGAGAATTCAGAGAGTTAATTTCAGTCTTTGCAAAGCTAGCAAGCATATTTTCAACTGTCAAAGCCTTCTTCTAAGCCACATTAAATAGTCTCCAGAAATCCCTTTTTGTTATTTGAATATAACTTATTTCTTGATATAATAGTGCTTTCAGCTTATTGAAATATGCCTTGCCTAGTGGCTTAAAGATTTCAATATCAAGAGATTGCAAATAGTGAATTAAATGTAGCAGAAGAATTATAAGAAGAATCTTTTTATAGTCAGTATATTCAATAAATTTTATATTTATATGAAAGGAATGCTTATCTAGTAAAAGCAGACATCTTTCTCAACTAGCTTGTTTCTTAGTATACTGATTAAAAATTCATTTCAACTACTTTAGTATATATTTATTATTGCTCCAACCATTTGTTGAAGCTGCAAAGTAGATTTATTCACTTTCATTATAATTATCTAGCTATATATTCTGGAGATCTCATGATTTGCTCTGATAAATAAGAGCTAAAGATAGTGTAATTTCTTCAGCAGAGACTGAGCAGAGCAATAAAAGAAACTTCAGACTACTATTCTGAATAATGACATTCTTTCCAGCTTATAGAGCTTTAATAAAGACTAATCACTTTGAGATATAACAGAAGTCTAGAAGAAATTCTTTTTTATTAAAGTTATAGATGTTTGAGAACTCAAGATTATATTAATTAATTTTCTGCTTTAACTACTTTATAAGTAGTAGTTAAATAATTAGCCAGCATCAACAACTGCAATTACAAGTAATTAAATAAATTATTAAATTACAAGCATATAAAAGTACTTAAAGTACTGAAAATTATCTGCTATCTGTTTATTTTAATTAATTACTTTAAGATAAATGTATTTAATCTTGTCATTATATTACTTGTAAAGTTAATTAACTTAGTTAATTTCAACATTCTCTTCTGTTATCTCTTGTATAATATTTTATAGAATCTGAGGTGTAATGACAAGACTATAACTAGAGAGCTTGTTTATATAATTCAGAAGCTCTGTCTTTTGTATATTAGAAAGCTTTTTCCTATATTGAAACACTACTTTATTTTGAGCAAGTTGCAAGTCTTTATACTATTGATGCAGAATCTCTTGATTAACTAAGTACTTTCTTACAGTTACAGTATAATTTGAGATCTCTTGCAATTCAAGATCTTTAATTGGAAGTCTAATTAAGGCATTGTTGATCATATTGTTGCATATTGAATGTTAAATGTTGGAGGAATTTTGGTGGTGGAAGATTTGGCTTGTTTAGTGGTGTGGCTTGCTTAGTGGTGAACTACCTTACCACCTAACTTCTTGTGTGGTGTTTCACTCTCCAGTCTTACTGAACCTGACTTCATCTGAGATATGTCTGGTGCTTTTATTGAATTACAGACTAATCTGATGCATTTGCCATTGCAGGGAACTGGCTTGGCAGTATATGAATGTGAGTTAACTAAAGAGCTTTGATTGATGTATGTCTCTTCTAAAGCTTCATACCACAGGCAATCGGTAATAACATCTGACCTGATTGATGTTGATGACCCACCCCAGTCTGATCCAGATTGGCATGAGTGAAGCCCATACTCAGAGATGCTAGTGTATTTTAAGAGGGCAAACAACTCTTTGCAGCAGGACATTCTTTCTATTGCTAACATCATGCATTTTAACAGATGCCAACAGTGAACTTGAGCTTGCCTTTCAAAAGGAAAAGGAGTATCTTCTTGTTGGCAGTTGGATTATCATGAGAAGCGACCGGCATCTTACAGCACGCTTGCAAGGGTAGTGACAGCATGTCTGTGGCATGTACAGAAGATGCCCAACTTGAAGAAACAGTTATTCAAATTGCAAGTAATGGCAGTGTCAGTCCAGACATACTTTCCTGGGCACAATTGATTGTCAATGATCTAAACAGCATCACATGTGGAGGTTTGTTGTCCAATTATGTGTTTTGCTATTCTTGTTCTAACTTTGGCTCATTGTCTACAAGGCTGGAGAAAGAGGCTGACATTTAGTTGAAAGTTACACAGATGGATATTTCACATCTTCAGATATACATGATGACCTTCAGGGTTATCAAAATATGATCCTGTGTCCCCGCTCTGAAGTTCAACAATGAGTGAGAAAATCTTTGCCAGACTAATATGAAGCATTTGAACAAAGACAGGAATGTACTGTACTGAGAGATAAGCTGACTGAAATTAAAGAATAGAAAGACCTAGGATAGAATACTTCAAATAAATAAGAAACTTAACATGAAAGGATCACTTTTTGCGTCTCACTAGTGACAGTAGCCTTCCACGCTGCCGTAGCAAACAATTTGCGGAAGGAGGAATCGGTCGGTCAGGATGTTTCTCATGGAACTCCTGAACTAACAACTCACTCCCAGGAATTAATCTACCGGCAGGCTCCCAGGAAGGCTTATCATGGCCTGTCGAGCACCACCATAGACTAAAGAGTCTCAACTTCATCAGTCTCACTCAAAAGCTCAATCACCTGTCCCATTCCTTCGGCATGGGCCCTGTTTTGAAGCAACAGTCGCACAAGGTTTCTATTGCCTCTTTTGGCAGTTGCTTGCAATGGCGTTTCGTTAAATAATCCTTTGGCATTAACGTCAGCTCCATACTCCAGTAGAAGCTGGACTATCCGTTCACGGCACCGACCGACAGCGGCAAAAAGAGCGTTGTCATGATCGAATCCATCTCCATCGCCCTTGACATCAGCCCCCTTTTGAAGGAGGACTGATACTACTTCGTCATGACCCCACCTAGCGGCCGCATATAAAGGAGTGCCCCAGATATAGCTTCTCCGGTTGACATCGGCTCCACTTTCAAGAAGCGAGCACACAATCCGCACATGGCCATACCGAGCGGCCGCCCCCAGAGGAGTGTTATAGAATGCTCCTTTGCCGTTGACAGAGGCGCCATTGCTGAGTAAGAAGTGGACGAGCGATACGTGGCCTTCCTTAGCAGCTTCATATAAGGCAGAACCGCAGGATCTACTTTCGGCGTTAATATTGGATCCATGGTCAAGCAGGAGCCTGACCATGTCTTCGCGGCCTTTCCGAGAAGCTGCACACAGGGCAGTGTGGTGCCGTTTGTCACATATAATTTCCCCTTTCTCAAGCAGTAGCTGGACAGCGTGTGTACAAGCTTCCTCAACCTTTGCAGGTGTCACAGCGCCGACGTTCCCAGCATTGCTGTCAAACTTCCTCCGGACCAGCAGCTCCAATACATTTTTATGTCCATTCTTAGCAGCTGCACATACCGCGGAGCAACCCCCGCTACCATTGATATTCACCCCAATTTCGGGCGGCAACCGGATTATGTGTTCGAGGCCTTCCTCAGCAGCTAGACATAATACTATATCACTTGCCCTTCAGCGGGTATGAGCTCCTTTGATGAGTAGTATGCGGACCATCTTCTCATCACCTTCGCGAGCAGCCATTACTAATGAATAGTAAATGTTACGCCTATTTCGCGCAGCATTGGACCTCTCAACGGTGTGCTTTCTTTCAAAAGGGCTGGTTGTACATAGCGACGTTGTATTTGTTCCCGATCGAATAGGACTTCTCGCATCCCGTGCACTTGGCGATCGTAAAATCCCCATTCTGCTTGGACTATCTAAGTTCTCGATATCTCGCGCTCCAGAGGGTCGGTTATTTTGTTGAGCTTGGCGTCGCGCATAATATGCAGCTGCAATACCAGCTCCGGTGCTGACAGTGGCGAGTACTGCACCAACAACCTCCAGTGATCTTATTTCGGTGGCCCGGAGGGCCTCAGTACAGGGCTCGCCTTTACAAGATGTTAGCAAGCTTGAGGATGAGCCGCAGATGTTCCAATGTAAATGAAGCAATATTCACATACCATCTTCAAAACCATCCTGGCTTGACCAACAATCTTCATAATCCATGGTATTTGAAGTTCAATAGAGACCATTCATCGAACAGCTCTTATTTTCGAATATCTGTGGGCTGATGTCGATCTGGGAAGTTGAAAGTGATGTCAAAGAATAGCGGACTATGGGGCGATCCTTCCATCTTTTATCGCGGTCGAAGTGAGCAAGGCTGAAGTGAGGCTCTATCAGGCTATCTTTCATCTCCACCACTACTTCCCTGTGGTAACTAACCAAGTCAACAAACCAAATTCTGAGTGAGGCTGGCCTTACACTCACTCTTTAGCATTTCAGGGCCAACAAAGCTCTAATGGTTGCTCTCATTTATTTATGTACTTAAATTGACATCATATTTGGTAAACATCGGTCCATGGTATCCAGCCCTGCTTTCTTGCAGGCGACGTTCAGCTGCTTGTCTGCTTTTCAGTGCACAAAGGTGGTTGAGGATCGGGAATAAAAACTAGGCGCAGATGGTTAATGATGACTGATTGGCGGACCGTGGTCAAACCTCCTTCAGGCAGATGAACATTGAAACTGGCAATTGAGAGTGTTTACGCAACCCTTCTCCATCCCTTCCAGAACTAGCTAAGCCCTTTTAGACATAGTACCCGATCCTGGAGCGGGACTAGTTTCAAGCTTAAAAATAGCCACCGCTAAACCGAATACGGGCAACAAGCAATGAGAGGCCATGTGATATCCTCGATCAGGCTCAGGGGAAGAAACAGTTACAACAGCAGTAAGTTACAGTATGCTCCCCACACGCTGTCGATGTGCAAGAAAAAATGACTTCCTGCGACACTTTCCAAGAAGATGATCCCAGCTTGCCGGTTATTGAGCCGCAGCGTCCCAGGGCTCTGCTAGGCGCCGGCGTCACCTCGCACGTTGAGGCTATTGACCAAAACACCGCCTTGAAAAAAGCCCCATTATGGGACAATACATACATGGACAATTCTGCCCTCAGGGACATCCAAACTGAGCGCCTGATTTACCAGCGGCTTGGTCATCATCCGCGAATTTGCAAATACATACGGCCAGTACATCGCGGGATGGTGCTTGAACGGTTGGGCGATTCATTGCGCAAGCGGCTTGTCCTGACATACCAGAAGGCGGGAGAAGTCCCATCGCATGAGCTGGCGCTGAGATGGTCTATTCAAGCTGCAGAGGGAATTGCATACATTCACTCCAAAGGGGTCTTGCAGGGGGATATTGGTTGTTACAATATGCTTTTGGATGACGAGGATAATCTAAAACTTTGTGACTTTGCCGGATCCTCTATCGACGGGTCCCCCACGACAGTGCTCCACGGCACGAGATCCCAGCTATGGGTGGAATCCGAAATTCCTAGCAATGATAATGCACCACCCACGATTGCGTGCGAGTTATTTGCTCTTGGCTCTGCGATACACGAAATATGGACGACAAGACAGCCGTACGAAGAGCTGGAGGACAACGAAGTGGAGAAATGTTACAAACAAAAACAATTTCCAATCATTGACCTGCCTGTTTCTGAGATTATCTACAAGTGTTGGTTGGAGCAGTACACGGCTGCAGATGAAGTGGTTGCCGAGCTGCAACAGTTGCAGAATAATGCGACCCAGAACTCCCACGAGAAAGCGCCTCCCAACCTCAAGACGGAACCCGAATCCGATTCACCGTTAACACATATCTTTACCACCATAACATTCATCGCCTTCGTAACCGTTACCGCGACCGCCGTGATTACCGCCAGACTTTATCGAACAAGAATGGCGTGAACCCGCGAGTTCACTTCGTCTATCCGTACGTCTAGACATCACTTTGTTTAGCTTAGACCTGGCAAATTCATCCCTTGTCACTTACGATTCTGAGCTCCTCTCGTGTGCCCTTGCAAACTGGGCAATCTCCTTTTTGGGTTGTCGAGCCGAAGAGAGCCGATGTGTCTGGAGTCGCATCGCGACAATGACGATACGTTCCTATGGGGTTTGAGTTGTCGCAAATGCTGTACCCCCTGTTTGTCACCTTGTGCTTCGGATCTTGTTGGCAATCTTTGTAAAAGAAAACTGTATCGATATAGGTGCACATCGTGAATTTCAGGTTGCTTTTTAGTTGTTTTAAAAGTTTGCTCGTATTTCAATTGTGAAGGATATAGATAAAAGTTTAAGGGATCAAGATCTGAGGCAAACAACATGAGGATACTCATCTGAGATGGCTCTCCCCCGCTTCTCCTAGGCAGCATCACAACCCTGCCCACTACCACAAGGCTGGCCTAATCTGCGTGGCTTCAATGACACTCTCAACACTCTAGTAACCAACTGCCTTGGAAGAACAGCGAACATGTGATTTTGCAAGTGACCCACGAGAGTCAATCATGATGGGCCGTGATTTTGTGGTGTGGATTGCATGGATGGGATTGGGCATACCTGCAGCTTTCTGCGGACCCTGCCTCAGAAGCCCCGCGGCCTCAGCAAGAAGTGCCTCGCCTCGCCGCAGGATTGGGATCTGGAAGCTACGAGGCTTATTCGTTCTCCGGCGGCATATCGAGCCTTGAGCAGAGAGTTTAGGAAGCATACATGTTCGAGGGTTGAATAAAGAGAGGAATGTGCTCAGAGATACTAGAAAGACCTAGGATAGAATAATTCAAATAAATAAAAAACTAAACACCAAAGGATTGCTTCTTGCGCCTCCGCGCCGAAGGTGGCCTTCCACGCTGCCGCGGGGAACAATTTGCGGAAGCTAGCTTTTACTCTCTCTCATCTATTCAAATCCTTTATATGAAGACTTGAACTACTGGTCAGTCGGTTGGGATGATTCTTGTGGAACTGATGAATGAAAACTTTGCTCCCAGGAATCAAGTTACAGGCAGGTTCCCAAGAAGGCTCATCATAGCCTGTCCAGTGCACAAGATATTCCAGCTGCACTTGTCTGCTTATTTGCACAGTTCTTGAATTCAAGACTTTATTGACCAGCCATTCCATTCACCTCACTCCATTTCTAAAAACCAACACCAGCAGCAGCAGTTGATGTTGTTTCAAGGATATTAATTATGTTGGGACAGCAAGGAATATCTGCCTCATTATCACTGCCATCATCTAGGGCAAAAAGACTTTCTGACAACAAACTAGCAGTAGAGAATGATTGGCAATGATGGGCATGTCCAGTCTGCTGTAAAGATGTCTTTTTCTGCTTCTGTTCTGCAACCAGTGTGTCATGTCTCTCATCACTCTTGGTACAACCAACATCAGCAATGCTATATCTGAAGTCACTCTTGTTGACAGTTTCTTCACCACCACTCAGGAGGTGAGCTGCTGTAAAGGCTGCCAAAGACTCATTTGGTATGGAAGGCAAGCTATCCGGAAGTTCCACATTAGGTGGATTTCAAACTCCACTATTGAAAGCGATTGCACAATCACGAATACCGTGTCTTGCCTGGTTGTTCGACCCTTGCGACAGAGCATCTGATAGATTGGTACCAAGCGCCTCAGGAACAGGTGGGCGTTCACCGCCATCGTCGACTGCGTTGTCTGGATTGGCAGGCGCTTGTAAGCATTTCATGGCCAATACAAGGCTCGCGAGGGCCAAGGAAAAGTGAGCAGCAAACCTTTCAAAAAGATTAACGCATTGTCAAGAGGCGTTTCAGATTCTCCAGGTCTTTCATTGGTGATAGAATCCTTCTTGGTCGAAATCATTGCGTCAACTGCTTCTGGCTGCACCAGCTCCTGGTCAAAATCATTTGGGGAAGCTCCTTGCAGAGGCTGATGCTTTGGTATTACCACAGGAGGACACGCGGGTAGTAGGTGATGCTTTGGGGATTGTGAGAGGGCAAAGTGATCAGGGACATCTCGGCTTTAGGGGGCTGTATTGCCGGGGGGTTGGATGGGGGTAGTGAATGTGACATGTTTCAGGGGTTTTCAAGGCCTTTGTGACATTGATTTGGGGTTGTAAAATTGTATGTGATTGAGGTCAACAATTGTGATGAAGCTACCAGGCAAAAGGGGAGTGCTCTGTGATTTGATGGATTGAATGTCACTTGTGTATATCTGTAATTCTTTGGTCTCAACTGGAAGCCCGTTTATATAGGGAAAAGACCTATTGCGAGGTGTAGGAAAAGCATTCAGACCGCCACTGAGGCAGAACTTCAGGGCTAACACTCAAAACTGCCTTGTGAGGCGAACCAGTGGAGCGGGGTACGATGGGATGCCTCGTCAAAGTAGGCGAGTTGGTTGATATGGTGAGAGCACAAGAAAGGTGAAAAATCACCACATAGTAAGGGTATGGTCAAGTAGTAAGTGTAGAGATAGATATGTTCTAACAGATGCCTAAGCTTGCAAGGAGTAATAGTACTAAAGAGCCCTGTACTAACACAGACAGCTCTAATAAGAAACAGTAGCAAGTTTCATAAACAAGAAATCTTTATATTCTCTAACTAATAACTGAACTAGTAGTAAGGAATGAGTATGTAGAAAAGAGCCATGGTGCATGAAGATAATAAGCAAGATGCAGGGGCTACAGATGATTTATATAGCTCAAGAATAGTAGCTTTAGGGTGGTTTGTATCTTGGACTGGAATAATCTTTATTCTAATAAGATACTGAAATTCTCACTACATTTTCTTCTGATCTTTAATGTTGGTGTTCTCTGACAACAAACAATATATAAAATAAAACAAAATCAATTTAGTAAAATAAGAGAATAATAAATAGTAATAAGCAGTCTGGTAAGAAAAAACATAGGAAATAAGAATAAGAAGAGTGATAGCAGCAATTTCTAATAATAATTATCATGATTCTCTTCTTTCATCAAGTTCTTGAGAGAAGAAGAAGACCAAACTGACACTAGATAAATATTGTTGTGCACACAATGCCAATAGAATTTATTATCAAAAGCTTTCTTTTCAATTTGGTAAGTCTTGATAATAGCATTCAGAGCAATTCATGTGATCTTTAGATGCCAGTTATTAATGAAGTTCTGAGCCTTTTTGTCATCAGGATCAAAGAGAATATTGAGTTCCTTAATTATCATGAAGTTGTTCTATCTAATATGTTCTACCAAAGCATCTGATATAGCTTCTAAGCCTTGTAATTGAATAGCAGTAGAGAATCAATATGGAACTGATGTGTAATGATTTGAATGACTAGATGAAGAAGAAGACCCTGGAACTAGATCTTTATATGCAGCAGAGAGCTGGAATCATGTACCAGCTTTATTGATTTCTAAATGTTCATGGTCCTCTTGAATTATCATATATCAGGATAGCATAGTACATCAGATCTTTTTGCATAGATCATGAGCTTCATGGGGTAGCAGAGAGCTTGTAATTCAGACATTGCCAGGCTTGCAAATGACATCAGTCTACCTAATACCAAATTTTCTTTTGTTATCTTTGGTATACATTGTATCTTTAATGCAGTAAATATAGCTATCAGTGAATAAGTCTCATTCTTCAAGTAGTCCCCACCAATTCTCTAGATAGTTATGCATTTCTAGCAAGATTTCTATACAGTCACTAGGCTTTTCTGCAGTTAACATCAAGAATTCTTGTATTATGTTAATGCCCCTTCCAGTAGTAATAGCATCTGAAACATTGATATTGATATGGTAAAACCCAGTTTTATCTCCTGGCTTAGCATACTTGGTGTAGTATGAATAGGAGATTCATTTTCAAGTATGATCAGGTCTTGTCAGTATATATTATAGATAGTAGGCAGAGTTCTGGTATATAAGTTGTTGGCCAATACTATAATACATTGTTCTCAATCATCTGTAATTATTGTGACCTCCCATTATTCACTAATAATAGTAGTACATGTCATATTCACTGTTGACCTGGATGAGTACTGTAGTGGTGGCATCTTGTAATTTATTATTCCACCAGCACATTAGCTAGAAAATAACAACAGACTTAGTTATTTCTCATTTCTTCTGAAGATTGCTGGTGGTGAACTTGTTAACTTCAGTTATTCATACATATCAGTTAAAGTCAAAGATCTTCATTCTTGTGACCAGAGAGATAATTGGCTGATGTTTGACTTTGTAAATGCCTAAAGCATCTTCAGCTCTAGCTGGTCTATTTGCCAACCAGAACCAGAGATAGATGCTGTCATTAGTCTTAACTAAGTTAATATTGCAACAATTTCTATAGATGTAAGCCAAACAGTTGAGAAGCTTCTTCCTATTACATATGTGAGTCTGTAAACCAAGTTTTGAAGCCATTAGTTTAGCATGGTCATAGTATAGATAAATGTCAGCTTTCTTATCACTAAAGGCCTTTTCTAACTGCTTCAGAATGTGAATAAGCTCCAACTGCAAACACATTTTAGTACTCTTTATCTTTTGGAGAAGCTGTTGTTCAAAACTACAGCAATAGCAAGTACCAGAGCATACTGCTATGACAGATTCTTCTTATTCATGTTAGGGTATTTTCTTGTTACTTTCAGAAGGAATAACAGACTCATCTTCATTATCTAGGTCTTGGAGAGTTTGATGTGCTGACATGGCTGTAATTCTTTTACTGCAGTACTTTAGAGCTTCTGATTAGCTGAGTGGATTGGCCAGCACACTAGTGAATCCAAATGGCAGCTGTAATTAGCTAGTTTCCAATCCATGTGATCTAATCAACATTGTACTATGTATAGAGGCTCTTAATACATTGCAGCTATGCAGCATCAACATTCCACCCATTAGAACATCTCTTGATGATCTTGGTGACTGTAGTTCTTCTAGTAAATCTCAGAGGCTGCTTGCAGTGGGAGGGCTCCTAGCAATATCCTGAATTGAACATTGGGAGCTAGATGACTGTGGAAGAGCCAATAACTGTAGAAGATTATAGTTTCCAATAGTAAGTTCTTGTTAATGTAGAGTATCTCTTGAAGAAAGTTCACAAGCACAATTAACTTCTTTGTCAGCTGTAGTATAATCACCTGGCAATATAACTAAGCTCCAGCAATGTTCAGCTTCTGTAGCATCTAGTCTTTGAAGCACTGTGCTGTTAATATTGTTGGCAAACTTATCCTAATTCTTGTAGACATTTAGAGTATGGTGAAGCTTTTGTACAGCTTACAGGCTCTTTACTTTTAGTCATATGACATCAATTCTGTCTATCTCCCATATAGCAACAAGTCTATTCTTGATCTTTTGCATATCAATGCAACATCATTCAACATCC